AGTAGTAATTCATCCCCCATATAGTAATTCATCCCCCATAGTAGTATTCATCCCCCATATAGTAATTCATCCCCCATATAGTAATTCATCCCCCATATAGTAATTCATCCCCCCTATAGTAATTCATCATCCCCCATAGTAATTCATCCCCCATATAGTAATACACATCCCCCATATAGTAATTCATCCCCCCATATAGTAATTCATCCCCCATATAGTAATTCATCCCCCATAGTAATTCATCCTCCATAGTAATTCATCCCCCATAGTAATTCATCCCCCATATAGTAATTCATCCCCCATATAGTAATTCATCCCCCATAGTAATTCATCCCCCATATAGTAATTCATCCCCCATATAGTAATTCATCCCCCATAGTAATTCATCCCCCATAGTAATTCATCCCCCATATTGTGTCAATTCACTTACCTTTGCTCCGCGCGTTCTTCTCGCCGTGTTCCCGCGCCGTTCTGGTCTTCAGGGCGGACTGTGAGAGGAGTTCGTCACGCTGCCCCCCCCTACATCCTGGCTGCCCCGCCTACATCCTGACAGCTGCAGAGTCCTGACTTTTGGGGCGGCCGCCCGAGAGGAGGGAGGGGGGCGGCCGCCCGAGAAGAGGGAAGGGGACGGCCGCCCGAGAGGAGGGAGGGGAGCGGGCGCCCGAGAGGAGGGAGGGGAGCGGGCGCCCGGCACACAGAAGAGTCCTGACTTTTGGGGGCGGCCGCCCGAGAGGAGGGAGGGGGGCGGCCGCCCGAGAGGAGGGAGGGGAGCGGGCGCCCGGCACACAGAAGAGCCGCATTTAAGTTTGTAAAGAGCCGCATGTGGCTCGCGAGCCGCGGCTTGCCGACCACTGCCCTAGAGATATCAATTGAGAGTAATATGATTTCTATTTCTGTGCAAGGCAGCATGAAGTTAGATGCACAACAAATTGTACCAGTGTGGAGCAATGCGTTTTTATGTCTGTGTGCATGAGCCCTACTCAAAAATTAAAACAGTATTTGAAATAGTTTGTATTGTATTTTAAAATATTTGAATTGTATTTCTGCTTTTAGCTATTACCATCTATTAATCATGAACATACTTTTGTTTATTTTTTTTCCAGATTTCTTGGATAGAATTTTGTTTATTAACTGAAGCAGGCAAAACAGATTAGAGTTATTTTAAATCCATCAGATGAAAAATTATGTAATATCTACTCTTGTCTATGTGCGATATACGCAGAATTTATCAATAATGAATTCAAGTGTGCATGAGCCCTACTCAAAAATTAAAACAGTATTTTGAATACTTTGTATTGTATTTTAAAATATTTAAATTGTATTTCTGCTTGTAGCTATTACCATTTACCAACTATTCATCATGAACATACTTTTGTTTATTTTTTTTCCAGATTTCTTGGATAGAATTTTGTTTATTAACTGAAGCAGGCAAAACAGATTAGAGTTATTTTAAATCCATCAGATGAAGAATTATGTAATATCTACTCTTGTCTATGTGCGATATACGCAGAATTTAACAATATTGAATTAATGTTTAAGATTTGGGTTTTTTTACAAAAGATACAGATCAATTTTCTGAATGCATGATTAGAACTGAAGCAAAAGGGCGTACTTGTTTATTTGTATTTCAAGAGGAAGAACTTTGTTATGCTTGGTTCAATCGTAAAAGTGTATATAAGGCACCCTTTCAGACAAGACAATGATGCTGAGTTAAGAATCTTCATACACTACTTTGTGTGAATGTTTACTTCTTACTGGAACAGGAGTAATTTCAATGCTCTTTGAATAACTTTTATGTAGTGCAGTGTTTTGTGGTAACTAAACCTCCAACCCCACCCCTATATGTGATCTACACTCTCAGTGTTCAGTGAAAGTCCTTTTGGTCGCTCACTCACCTTTTTCCCTGGACCTATGCTAATATGCATCAGCTAGGTCAGGCATGCTTATCATTCCATGCATTTAAGAATTCATGATGTTTTTGATTGGATTTTTACCCCTGTTCTGTGCCTCTGAAGATGTCTAAAAGACCTAATTCGTAGGGCGGAAACTGGACGAGGCAATTACGGAAGTTGTAGCAGAATAGTGAAACAAACAGGAGGGGTGACCAGCTTATATTGCCCTATGAAAGCATATTAAGCACAAACAGAATGTGAGCACAGTTTTTATTTGTATCTTATGAAATTGGTTTACACTTTATTTGGTTTTTTCTTTATTCTATTATATCAGTTTTTGTGATTTTCACTCAGCTAATTGGCCTGATTGTGTATGGGTGACAGTCAATAAAGGACATCACAAAATATCCTGTGTATGGAGTCATAAGCATGCCAGACCTACCTGATGTATTTTTGCATGGGGGTCCAGGCAAAAAGGTGAGTGAGCTCTCAAAGGGACTTTCAGTAAGTGGTGTATTTTGGTTTTGTGCTGCCCTAGGCAAGAGTAAAATTGGGCACCCCCTCGTCTAAATTTTTCCTACCCCTTCCTGTTTAAGATAGGATGGGTGGGGGGGCAACGGGGAAGGAGGGTGGCCATGTGACAGGAGGAAGACAGAGGGACAGGTGGGGGGCAGTGGGACAGGAGGGGGACAGCGGGACAGATGGGGAGCAGAGTGACAGGTGGGCACCGGAAAGGAGGGGGGAAACCTGACAGTTGGAGGGCAGCAGGACAGGTGGGGGCAGCATGACAGGTGGGGGGCAGCATAATGGGAGGGCAGCGGGATAGGGAGCAGCATGGTGGGGGGGCATGGGATGGGGGGACAGTGTGACAGCAGTGGGGCAACGGGACAGGAGGGGGGAAGTGGGACAGTAGGAGGGCAGCAAGAAAGGAGGGGGCAGCGGAACAGTAGGGGGTAGCGGGACAGGAGGGGGCAGTGGGGCAGGAGGGGAGAAGCATGATGGGGGGACATTGGACAGGAGGGAGGCAGAGGAACAGGAGGGGGGCATCGGAACAGGAGTGCAGCAGTAAAGGAGGGGGCAGCTTTATGGTTGGGGGCAGCATGACAGAAGCAGTGGGACAGGTGGAGGGCAATAGAACATTTTGGGGGCAATGGGACAGTAGGGGGGCAGTGGGACAGGAGGGGGGAAGCAGGAAAGGAGGGGGTCAGCAAGTAAGGAGGGGCAGTGAGATGGGTGGGGAGGGCAGCGAGGCAGGAGGGGGGGTAGCATGACAGGGGGGCCATGGGACAGGAGGGAGGCAGAGGGACAGGAGGGAGACAGAGGGATAGGTGGGGGCAGCGGGACAGGCGGGGGTAGCAGAAACAGGAGGGGACAGTAGGAAAGGAGGGGGGCAGTGGTACAGGAGGCAGCGGAACAGGTGGGGAGCAGTGTGATGGGAAGCAACGTGTCAGGAGTGGGGAAGCACCAGTCCTCCAAGCTCTACCTGTCTAGCAGTGGCTTCTCCATATGGTGTCAGGATCTGGTGCTAGGAGTGGTAGCTGAGCCTGTGTCCCATCTCCACCAGGAATTTGGCAGTACCTGCAATAAAGAGCGAGAGATACACCTCTGCTTTCAGTTATCCAGTTATCACCAGGAGTGTTGTGGAGCTCTTTGTACACACAAGTCACAATTGTTTCAAGGTTTAAAGATTTACACATTGGACTTACTTTATATATATATATATATATATATATATATATATACAGTATATATTGCCAAAAGTATTGGGACACCTGCCTTTACATGCACATGAACTTTAATGGCATCCCTGTCTTTAGACCGTAGAGTTCAATATTGAGTTGGACCACCCTTTGCAGCTATAATAGCTCCAACTCTTCTGGAAAGGATGTCCACAGGGTTTAGGAGTGTGTCTATGGGAATGTTTGACCATTCTTCCAGAAGCGCATTTGTGAGGTCAGGCACTGATGTCAAACGAGAAGGCCTGGCTTCCAATCTCCACTCTAATTCATCTCAAAGATGTTTTATCGGGTTGAGGTCAGGACAGTCAAATTCCTTCACCCCAAACTCGCTCATCCATGTCATTATAGACCTTGCTTTGTGCACTGGTGCACAGTCATGTTGGAACAGGAAGGGGCCATCCCCAAACTATTCCCACAAAGTTGGGAGCATGAAATTGTCCAAAATATCTTGGTATGCTGACACCTTAAGAGTTCCCTTCACTGGAACTAAGGGGCCTAGACCCCAAACTTTGCACTTGGCACAATGCAGTCAGGCAAGTACCATCCTCAGGGCAGCTGCCAAACCCAGACATGTCCATCAGATTGCCAAACAGAGAAGCGAGATTCGTCACTCCAGAGATTCTGAAGGAATCCTCTGCACATTAGTATATACAGTATATATATATTTATATATATATATATATATATATATTATATTATAATTATATATACCCTTTCCTGCAGACTTTGCAATAGAAAATAGGGATATTTAGTTCACACATATTGCAATACATGTTTAAGCTGGCCAACTGCATCAAAGTAGTCCCTCTATTGCCAGTCCTACTCTGCTCTGCCTAGGTAAATGATACTGTAGACACATTGCCACAGGTAAGGGGGGGGGGGGTGTACAATGCCAATATAAGTGGGGGAGAACTACTAGGTTTAGGTCCAGATACTGACCCGCAATACAAACAAACAAGATATACCTGTGCTCTGTGCTCAAATCCCAATAGCTAGTGCATGCATGTATCTATCAGGTGCTAAAGGGGCGTAAACACATATTAACACTAGAGATGTTGAAGGAACCCTCTGCACACTGGTATATACCCTTTTTAGCAGACTTTGCAATAAAAAATAGCAGTTGGCCAGCTTAAACATGTATTGCAATATGTGTGAACTAAATATCCCTTTTTGTTATTGCAAAGTCAGCTAGAAAGGGTATATAGCAGTGTGCAGAGGATGCCTTCAGAATCTCTAGTGTTAATATGTGGTTACACTCCTTTAGCACCTGATAGATAAACTCATGTACTAGCTATCGGGATTTGAGCACAGGTATGTCTTGTTCGTCACTCCAGAGAAAAAACGTCTCCACTGCTCTAGAGTCCAGTGGCGGCGTGCTTTACACCACTGCATCCGACACTTTGCATTGCACTTGTTGAAGTAAGGCTTGGATGCAGCTGCTCAGCCAAAGAAACACATACCATGAAGCTCTCTACACACTGTAAATTTGGAGGTCTTTAGCTATTGGCTCTGCAGAGAGTTGGTGACTTCTGCACATTGTGCGCTTCAGCATACGCTGACCCTGCTCTGTCATTTTACTTGGCCTACAACTTCGTGGCTGAGTTGCTGTTGTTCCCAGTTGCTTCCACTTTGTTATAATACCACTAACAGTTGACCGTGGAATATTTAGTAGCAAGGCATTTTCACGGATGGACTTCAATTTATGGAGCTCCTGAGAGCAACCAATTCTTTCACAAATGTTTGTACAAGCAGTCTGCATGCCTAGGTGCTTCATTTTATACACCTGCGCCCATGGAGGTGATTGGAACACCTGATTCCAATGATTTGGAGGGGTGCCCCAATACTTTTGGCAAGATAATGTGTGTGTGTATATATACGTACGTATATATATATATATATACAGTTGCAAGAAAAAGTATGTGAACCCCTTGGGATTACGTGGAAGTTTTGCATGAATTGGGCATAAAAAATGTGCTCTGAATGTCATCTAAGTCACAACAATAGAAGAACACAGTCTGCTGAACATAATACTACAAAAACATTAGATGTTGCCATGGTTTAATTGCACATAACATGTAAACATTCACAGTGCAGGGAGGAAAAAGTATGTGAGGCCCTAGCTTAATGACTTCTCCCAGAGCTAATTGGAGCCAGGAGTGAGCCAACCTTGACTCCAATCAGTGTGATGATATTGGATGTGTTGCTGACAGCTGTCCTGCCCTTAAAAAACACACACCTGTTTTGGGTTTACTAGTTTCAAGAAGCACTGTCTGATGTGAACCATGCCTCGCAGAAAAGAGCTCTCAGAAGACCTACAATCAAAGAATTGTTGACTTGCATGAAGCTGGAAAGGGTTACAAAAGTATCTCCAAAAGCCTTGATGTTCATGTGTCCACGGTAAGACAGACTGTCTACAAATGGAGAAAGTTTAGCACTGTTGCTACTCTCCCTAGGTGTGGTCGCCTGTAAAAATGACTGCAAGAGCACAGCGCAGAATGCTGCATGAGGTAAAGAAGAATCCCAGAGTGTCAGCTAATGACCTACAGAAATCTCTGGCACATGCTAACATTTTTGTTGACACATCTACAATAAGGAAAACATTAAACAAGAATGGAGTACTTGGGAGGACACCACGGAGGAAGCCATTGCTGTCCAAAAAGAATATTGCAGCACGTTTGAAGTTTGCAAAAGAGCACCTGGATGTTCCACAGCACTACTTGCAGAATATACTGTGGACAGAGGAAACAAAGATTGAGTTGTTTGGGAAGAACACACAAACACTATGTGTGGAGGAAAAAAGGCACAGCACACCAACATCAAAACCTCATCCCCACTGTGAAACATGGCGGAGGGAGCATCATGGTTTGGGGCTGCTTTGCTGCCTCAGAGCCTGGACGGATTGTTATCATTGATGGGAAAATGAATTCCAGAGTTTATCAAGACATTTTGCAGGAAAAACGTACGACCATCTGTCCGCCAACTGAAGCTCCGCAGAGGATGGGTGATGCAACAGGACAATGACCCAAAGCATACAAGTAATTCAACAAAACAATGGCTGCAACAGCACAGAATACGCCTTCTGGAGTGGCCCAGTCAGAGTCCTGACCTCAACCCGATTGAAATGCTGTGGCATGACCTTAAGAGAGCGATTCACACCAGACATCCCAAGAATATTGCTACACTGAAACAGTTTTGTGAAGAGGAGTGGTCCAAAATTACTCCAGATCGTTGTGCAGGTCTGATCTGCAACTACAGGAAACGTTTGGTTGAGGTTATTGCTGCCATAGGAGGGTCAACCAGTTATTAAGTCCAAAGGTTCACATACTTTTTCCTTCCTGCACTGTGAATGTTTACATGTTATGTGCAATTAAACCATGGCAACATCTAATGTTTGTGTAGTATTATGTTCAGCAGACTGTGTTCTTCTATTGTTGTCACTTAGATGACGTTCAGAGCACATTTTTATGCCCAATTCATGCAAAACTCCACGTAATCCCAAGGGGTTCACATACTTTTTCTTGCAACTGTATGTATATATATATATATATATATGATGAACAGATTTTGTTGTGATTATTAAGTTTTCACATTGATGGTTTGACAGTTTGATGTCGAGGGGATTTAGTTACTTCAAAGCACTGCGCTACTTATAAAGTATGTTATTTGTTTACTCGTTTGTGTTAAAATGTTAGCATTCTTCATTTAGGTGGTATTCCTTTTTTTATATTACTTTTTCATTTGCACTTACATACAATTTTTCAGGACAAGCTTTTGGGGTATGTCAGTGCTAAGTACTGCTTGGACCATGAAGAAGGGGACATACCCCAAAAGCTTGTCCTGAAAAATTGTATGTTAATGCAAATAAAAAAAGTATCATGGACAGTACTCAATTGTTTCTGTTGCAAGTACATTAATATGGCTACAATCTGCTTTGTGACATTAAAACATTTAGTTTTTGCATTTTTACCCCATTCTAAAACTTCCAATTTTGACCTTTTTTATCACATTCTAGTCTTTGTCAATTTTATAACCCCATCATATAAGATATGTGTTGCAGCAAGCTTTGGTAGACAGCTATATGGTGGCCTACCTAGAGTTCTTGACACCTAGTGCAAATAATTTTCCCCCAGGTCAAAATTATTTTTAGCAGTACTTGTGAAAGTAATTCAATTCTAATCATGGGCAGCAAAAAACTAACACAATGATGATTTTTTTTAACTGAATTTTTATATATCTAACCATGTTAGTAAAAGAAATATATTCAGATGTTAACAGCCAAACATGGGGATAATAACAGCATACTACTACAATACATGACTAGTGCACCCGAGATAGGTTCATCCAGACCCCACTACACCACCGTTACCCTTTACCCTTCCATACCAATCCCCTTTACTTACTATACTTACAGAAAACACAACACCAATTTTGGAGTAAAATGGCCAGCACGGCCTTTTATTAACAAATCAAGTTTAAACACATCAACCATTCCTTATAACAGAAAACATAAAGAGTTGTCGTTGGTCTTTGAAGGCACCCCCAAAACGATCCGAAATGCACCTGCGGACAACCATATTCCACTAGGCCTCCAGCCGCAACCAACCAGCTCGGAGACAACCATACCATCCGCAGTGCAGCACCACCACCTTCCAGTTAAACCTCGGTTAACTGGGAATGTTCCCGGGCACACCATACCAACGATGGGTCCCCACACCATTTTGTACCTCCAAGATAAGAACCTCCTCCAAAGACCAACCACCGCCCAGGAACCAAATTAACCCCCCCAGGAGGAACACAACATTCACCAAACAGGGCGGGCGGGAGGGAAGCTCTCTCTCCTACGTCCAGCTCCCAACTGACACCCCTCCCCAGAACACCCCACCCTAAAGTGCAGGAGACCCCACCTACACTCTCCTCTACCAACCAGATCCCCCAGCTATCCTTTACCAACTCTAAACAATAATTAACCCTCACACGTCTTCCTTCCCACTCTGGGCCTAGTCATGCCTGCCCTTCGCTAATTCTTTTCTTCTTTTATCGCTGCGGGCATTTCTTATTACATACAATTTTACAATACACACAGGAAGTGCACTGCAGCAAGTAGGCATAATAGTCATATGCTTTGATAATGACATACCTATAGGGGTATAAAAGATAGTATACTGATCTTCTAAACAGTGGTTACTTCAAAATACTAGTACATCAGTTCCATTACACCAGTCAATTTCAGGGTAGTTAAAAGTACCCATTTCTACCACTGTCCCAGCCTTTGCAACCCTTTCTATTTATGTAAGGAGCTGAGTCACTACTTATTCTATACTGCTGGCTAATAAACTCCAACACCAAATTGTAACTCCAACCATAATGCTTCAGCACCATTGCATTCTCCATCAACAAGGTCCTCTATCACACCTACTTTTAGAAACTGCCACCTTTACATTTTACTGTGCCTCTTGGAAAGAAAGCATAGCCAGGAATGTTAACAGTCCATGTGAAGAATGAAACTAAGATTTAACAATACCAATTAAGCCATAGTGTTCTTCATGCATCAAAACTTCCAGTTGTTCTATATTGCTTGGTAGACATCTGCCATTGGTGCACTTTGATACATTGCAATTGGATTTACTGTATTTTATTGTGGTGCAAATAGTACTGAAATCACCAATGTTTTGTCCGTAACATGGGAATCTCCTTATCACATACAGTATCCATTCCCTTATCCCACCCTCCATTAGTATTTGCCCCATTATATTCTAATTCGCCCTCATCCTCACTCTCAATCCTCATTTAAATACTACTTCAGCCTACCCATAAACCTCTCTCCCAGCACAATAGACCCTCTTTTATTTAGGTGCAAACCATCTTTATCATATAGGCTCTAGCCAGTGGAGTAAAAATAAAGCCATAGCAGCTCACATGGCTGCTATCAGGCCTGGGGTAGGGGGCATTATGGAGGCTATTTAGGCAAACTAAACCGTGAAGTTTCCAGTATAAAGGGCCTGAGGTCAGACCTCAGGTTTATTACTAGTCCCAGATCCCCCTCTGTGCAATAAGAAGCATTTCCTTAGCTGTCTTTGCATTGTAAATTAAATGCCCACTGAAAGTTTACGACAATCTAAAATTAACACCTGTATGCCTAATGCAGTCAAAATCCCTAGAGTTTCTCTTTAGGTAAAACCTTAAAGAACTATCACCAGAAGAAAATAAAGCTTGTTAAACCCCCCAAGAGATCCTGTGCACATATCACTTATCCCCAGGTAAATTTGTGAGGGGTTGCTGAGATGTGTTGCACTGCTCACCTGCCTAGCTATCTGACAACACAGTTCAATGGAGTGACAGCCCATGAGAACAGGGCCCACACTGTCCCCAGTGCCCCCACCACCCTCCCCCTGAAACTACCAGACAGAACATCACTCTGGGAGCGCTATGCTTCCTCATCTTTCCTGATATGTACACAGAGTACTGACCTGGCGCCTCATCTCTCCTTTTTTAGGGAATGGAGAGAGTGGGAACTGGCAGCTTGTGTGGTGAATGATTGCAGCTGTAGAAAAGAGCTTACATTCACAAAAACACAGTTGATAACAGCACAGGCTAGCCTGTCTCCGACAAGTGTAGTAGCTCAGGTGTGCTAT